TTTAGGCTGCTTGTATATAGTCCAGCACGTATAAAGCAAATTGTGGTATACATTGATAGACATGAGGAAGGGGAGGCTTTCCAGGTTTGGCATGGCTACCCTCTCTATGTCTTAGATTGGCACCCAGAGCAATACGCTTATGGACTTCATTATATGGAGGTTTTTGTGTATGTGAGTATCCATAATGATATCTATATTTTAAAAATATTTTAATTGGGTTATAAAAAAGGTATGACTAAAAGTTTAAAAAATAGAATAATTTTACATTTATTTGCCTTGAAAACAAAACATTTGTTCATATTCCAGGATGAAGCTGGCAGGAACACCACAGCCTCACAAACATTCTCTATAGATTTAACAACATCCGGGCTTGACCTCTTGCCTCGGCTGATTCTCTTGTTCAACATTTATTCATTGGTAATGAAAACATTCTTTGCATATTACAACAATTACTGAACACGTTTTAATGTTGTTTTTTTTCATTATCTTTAATTAATTTAATACTAACTTTTATGGCATGATTAGGAATTTAGTGTGAAAAGTTGTTTGTTTCATAGAAAGGGAAAGTTTTGCTTAGAGATTGTGACGTGACTTTTAAAACACAAGACTAGGATTTAGAAAGTGTAGTGAAAAGTAAACAGAAGACTTTTGACATCTCTAGATTAAGTTGGTAAATTAGTTTCTGAAGTAGATACTTAGATAACATGACATTTGACATTTTCTTTCTTGAAGTATTAAACTTCTTGTTTGACATCGTTTATTATTGTCGACTACATTTATATTGTTGGCCCATCGTCTTTGTCATTTTGTTATTTGAGTAATTCATAATTTAGACTGTGAACTTCATTCATGCCAACTAAGAAAAAGAATTGTGCTTTAAGTTTAACATATCATAATGATTAGTGGTTGACATCCATTACTACAGCTAGTGTGTTGCCAGTTTGATTTTTAAAACCTTTTGACATTTTAATCTTTTTCCTTTTTATTAATATTTATATTAAGATTTTGACCCCATAATAAGAAATTACATTTAATATATTCTAAATTGACTATACATTTTGATCAATTCATATTTTTGTATTTTTTTTCAGGGAAAACTTTTCTTTAGTCTTTGTATTTTCTTCTATTGCCTGATTCTAATTATGTTTAGACAATGTTCTTGCATCTATAACTACTATTTGCCAGGTTGGTCAATTTGTTTCTTTATATTTTCATTTTAGTCCATTTATGTTTGCTTTTTTATATTTCTAGTTCACAAAATCTGACAGTCTTATACAATAGTTTTAGCTGTGGCCAAATGTTATTGTGTTTTGAGCCAGTAGTGTTAATGTATATGTTAATTTGTACATTAATTAAATATTGATCACCAGGGCATGAAGTTCAAATTGTAGCATTCAATTCATGCTTGATGAAACTCTGGCTTGTTGCACGGACAAATGTCTCTTTTTACTTGATGATTGGCTCAGTATTTTACTTGGCTTTTGGTGAGTACAATATCTTGTGTAGAATATCTTGTGTACAATATCTGTGTACAATATCTTGTGTACATTAACACAGTAACATTTTATGCTGTGTGGCGTATTTTCTTTTTGATGGAACACCACTTTTTACATTTTTGATGAAAGATTTTTTTGTCATTCTCTCTACATAAATGTACTAATCTGACTTTATCTTAATTTGGCTCATTAAAAAATGCTAACAAAAATTCTTGAAAGACTTCTAAATATTAAATCAAATTCTTTCCTAATTTTATATTTCAGGACCATGGTTCATCGGAAGATTACTGACAGAGCACTTAGGTGTTGTTTTTGTTTGGGGCATCATAGTCGATGGATCATTTATACCTGGGGCACTGACATATTTCTATGGTATATTTCAGGTCTGTTTGATAGTTTTAGTTTTATTCAATCAAAGAAGAGGGTCCATAAAACTCTACTTCTAAGATAATTTAATCATATCTAATCTAATTTAATGGTGTAGTTAATGCATAAAAGATTTGAAATAGACAAATTCTTCTCAATTTTTTTTATACAAAAAAAAACACCTCTTTGACTATGAGGCTCATTCAAAAATAACAATAATGTATTTTTTAAAATATTTACTTTTGATTTTTGATTTGTTAAGCTTTAATAAGTGTAGAATTCATTTCTTAAATGTTTTTCTACCTGCCAAAATTGTGTATAACTTTATTTACATTTCATCTATTGTGAGGAATACATAACCAGTTTAGGAATCACTTCCTTAAGTTATTATTAGACCTGGTCAATAAAGTTTAAAAAAAAACCCAACAAACTATTACATATTTTTATTTACTACATGGAACAAATTTCCAATTTTTAACAAACTTTTGTTTCCAGTTTTTCACCTTCTCATTGCCACTATCTTTAATACTTGGAGTTTTGCTGGACAGCAGACGTAAAAATGGGAATCGAAAAGGCTTTGCTATGTATCCCTGGGTACTGATACCATCAGTGCTTCTATTGGCATACACAGTATATTTGGCCTTCTCAGAGTTCCCTTTATCCTATGGACTTGAGGCTTTTATATTTGGACCCTTGAGAACTGGCAACATTTTTCTTTTGATTGGGGGCTTGTGTTGGAGCAGCAGGACAGATCTGAGGAAAGTTGCTTCTGTGAACGAATGTGTTTAATGTTAGACTGTGCCTTTTAAATTATTGGACTGTTAGACTTTGTATGAAAGCAATGAGTTTGAACATGATTGATTAAATTTACGACCTACTTAGTAGGAACATATTTATGAAATTATGAAGTTTGATGGCATGTGTTTTATTACTTTGAGTTCATTCTAAAATGAGTCAACTTGTAATGCAGATATATACCCGCCTTTAATTAAGTTGTTATTTTGCAATCCAATACAGTTACATTCTAAATTAGTTTAATTAAACTTCAATTGTTTTGTTTACTCTTTAAGACTGATCATGCTTTGAAAACCTCCCAAAAATTAAATGATACACAAATGATATAAGGTTTGACTTAAACCTTTATCAGGAGTTATATTTAAAGATTAATGTGACCTTAGAGCTAGATGTTTTCAAAGTCTCTGTGATTGTAAAATATTATGACATCCAGACTGAATATACTAAGTGTGACCTTGTTAGTCACAAAAAAAAACAACTTTTATCATGTTTTTATGGTGTTGAATGTTTTCTCTCTTTAAACATTCTCTGCTTACATCTTTGAAACATTCCTTCTACTAATGTAATTGACAGTATGAATATTTCTGCACTATACAAAAAGCTCTATATGTGTGTTTTAAACCACATGACATATCATTTTAATTTTCTTATACCTTATTTTAACATTGTCAAGGATTCCTCAGAGCTGATAGCATAATTTATTTAAAATAATCCTTCATAGGAAGAGGTGCCCTGCCCCCCAATGTTCCCATGCATTGTATTCATGTAGTAAAGCATACTAAAGTTCTCATATTTGTTGCTTAAAAAAGCTGTGGTCTTATAGCCCTCAGTTTTGAGTGAACAAGGAATTTATTTCCAGCCCTCTTGGTCCCCCCCCCCCCCAAAAAAAATAAAAGAAAAAAATCTAAGTGTAACTTCCTTGTCAGAAATCAAAATGCAGATTCCTGAGACATTCAGTGTAACTCCAATATTTTTCTTTGTAAATAAACCCCATTGTTACTCACGCTCAGACATACTTGCATTAATATTGTATTGTATTGTACACATTATTCCAACAATTATTTTGTTGCATGTCTTTTTAGTCTATGAGTTTACATATGTCTATGCTTTTGTCGAAATTAAAGTCTTGTCAGAACTTCAAGGTGTTCATTTCTAACACCCCAGGACAATTCTAGCCCTGACTTAGCTAACTTGTCAAAATTTAAAGTTTTTTTCTTATTTCCCCAGGGCTGTAATATGAGTCTTTTCTCTCAGCCTTTTCTGAATGAAAGACCTACCTTGTAAATGTTTCATTTTGTTTTTCCAAGAGAAAATTCTTTAAAGGCCTTTAAAATTTCATTTCTTTTCTTTTCCTGACCCTTTCCCAAGGTGAAGCTGTCATAGACATCATACTTCCAGTCAACAACTTTGTTATTTGCACATTTTCTGCTTCAGTTGTAAGTTATGAGGCTTTTTCATAATTTTCCCATTCTCTGTTTTAAACCTTTTCCAATAGGCTGCCATGTTGCAGTAAGGCTAAAAACCTGTTCATTGTTGCCAACTTTTTTCAAAAACATTTCTTCTGTTTAGTTTCGACAGCTTACATTAATGTCTACCTTTATTTTGTCAATCTGCCACCATGTCCTTTATGTCAAACACTTTTAACCAAGGGACACTATTCATGAATATATTAACCATTCATGAACATATTAACCGGGGGGAGGGGGGATTGTTAAGAAGGAGATCCACTGCAATTTTTGTAAGAAAAATTATTGAATAGATTTATATGAAAAAAAAAAGGTTTAACTCCACTGCATATTTGTGATAATCTTTTGTTGTTATTAAAAGTAACATTGTGTCCAATGTGTGTGCAGACTTAACAAATGGGATATTTTGTTTTTGGTTCTGATCATTGCTTGTGATATGATTTCTGTGATAACAGAACATGCTGCTATTTATTTCATCATTACATTTTTAAACATGTTTTTTATATCATTTGTGAACAATAAACTTGTTATTACGTATTTCAAGCTTTTATTTTTTTTTTTGTTCCCTTCTTTTACATTCAGCTTCCTATATTTTATTCAGCCTCCCAGTCTCAAGACTTCAGAGTGTAAGCTCAATGTCAAATTGTATGTCACAGAGATCAGTAACATTCTGTTTATAGCACAGGTCTGAATTGAACAAAAGACTTTCACTTTAGTTTCTTCTTAAAAAAACAAGAATGCATTCAAACATCCTTCACTTTAAAGACATCAGTGTATACTTTATTTGTTTGCTAACTGTAATGATATCTTTTTTTAGTAGTTATAATTATTGCAATAGATGAAATGAACAAGAATGGCAAAATAAGATCAAGATTTTTTTTTATTGAGTATGATTTCTTAATCATAGTAAAACTGAATATATCAGAAAACAAATTTTAATGAGACAAAATAAAAATGAATTAGCAAACTGCCATATAACAATCGGAAATTAAAAAATCAGGATTTTTTATTTTGCTATAAGAAAATAAAATATAATCGATCCGACAAATAATTAACAATGTTATGCTTTCTTGTAAATAAAAGTTTTTAAAAAGTTAGGTGAAGATGAAAAGTATTTATAATGATTTTATTTGAGCCGATAATGTCTAGGTACAGAAATATATTGCACAAAGAGGGAAAAAAATAATTTTGGAATCATTAAAATAGTGATGCTTAAAAGACGAGATGAGCTCTAGCGAATCAGTGGATGTCAAGTTTATCTTTAGAAAGTTAAATTACATTCAATACATTGAGAAGGTAAAGTAAATATAATCTCCAAATCTTTTTACAAGTCTAAAAGTAACTTATTTTAAGTTTTATTATGTCAGTTTTTAAAATTAGGAGAAGGAAAACTCTAAATCCAAACCTTGCGGCTGTACCCAAACATAGGAATTTTAAGAGGACACTGATGAAAAATCAGAATCAGGTGACTCATAGGTTGCTTGCGGTACACAGTACTGCAGCCTGGCAGCCACAGATCCCAATATGTATTGACTATTGATGTTCCATTGAGTTGCATGGAGAGGGAAGTAAAGCAGTGTGAACAATAACATTGCGACCAGAGCTTTCATCTTATTTCAATGTAATGAATCATAGTTATTCCAAGACTGAAATAGGATAACTATTTCACACTTGCAAAAACTATATACAGCATCACAGCACTTTTGGGGACACAGTGGCTGAGTGGTTAAGCACTTGGCTTCCAATCCTGGGGTTCTGAGTTCAAATCTTGGCGAAGACTGGGATTTTAAATTTCATGATTTTTTGGGAATCCCTGAATCCATCCAATTCTAATGGGTACCTGACTAGTTGGGGGAAGTAAAGATAGTTGGTCATTGTGCTGGCCACATGACACCCTGCTCATTGGCCAAAGAAACAGATGACATTAACATCATCTACCCTATAGATCTCAAGGTCTGAAAGGGGAACTAAACTTAAAAGCACATTTAAGAAAACAAGGTTGTTTTTTTTTAGCCCTGACTGCAGCAGTTCAGATAAACACTTGATTACTCACAGAATTTCTTCAAACTATTTCATTGCTAAACATGGCAGAATGGCAAAACAAAGCCAAAAAAATACATATATACAATTTTCAACACTAACTGAATTAGGGATATCATAGAAACAATAAAATTGCATCTTGAAATTAAACAATAGATAATTAATTCTAAACAATTTTTGAGTATTGAAACATTCTTAAGCAGCAGACAAGTCTAGGCATTTCTGAGAAGTCTGTCTTACTTTAAAAGAAAAAAATGTTCACTCAGAAATTCAAGTTGCTCTCTTACTTAAAAACAAATATCAAAAAGTACAAATTTTTCATCAAATCTAACTTCTACATTTTATAACATAATTCCACTGAAAAACAGAAATCTTTTAAAGAAGATTATCATGTACTAGAAACAACATCATGTGTGATAATGTGGAACAGGTGAAGACTTGCTATTTTTCTATCGCACTGACTTCAAATGAGCGTACAGCATAAAACTATCTAGAAAAAGAAAAATTGCATTAAAATTGAAGACAGTTAATAACTAACTTTCGCATTCTTCTTTTTAAATTAATTTCTGAGAGTACTTAAAAAAAGTGGAAACTACTTAGGTCTAAAAATGTTTGAAACATTTATGCATCCTAGCTGTTTCAGATAATAGCCTACACATTTGTATAAGTAGTCTAGTTGATTCATCGACTACCACCATCCTCTGGTATCTCTGAGGTAGCATAGGTCAATATGTACTGCTGCATGTCAGTCTGAGTGGACATCTCATGGGTGACCATTCGAATGACCGGTGTCTTGGTGGAGACAAAGCGCTTCTCTGTTCTCTCATATTTAACTGAAACATGGCTTCGGAAGGTCTTTATAAGGTACAAAGTGGATAAAAACATTAGCAGAAGACCTGTGAAGTAAAATGTTGTTGTTAATAATTGCCACAAGACTAAACAAATGTGATTACAATGTTTAGAAATGGAGAAAGCGATGGGTTGTCTAAATCAGCCATGAAAACCAATGACTTAGTTTCAAAGAATTATTTTAGTTCACTAATTAACAAGCAAGACTACATGGACACATGGATATATGTAAAACATAAATATCTTCAGTAAGTAGGGAGATCTGTAATTTATAAGATAAGAACATTTAAACTTTATTTATTATTATTGCTAAAAAATAGACTTTTGGTAGATCATTCCTTATAGACCTTATTGAGTTTGACATTTGAAAAATATAAAATTATAAAATTATTACTTAGCTCATATTTTAAAAAAAACCTGTATTATGTCTTAATCCGCCATTAACATTTATTACTCAAATTTACAGATAATGCTAGACATCACAAAGTAATTTACCACCGACAATGTTAAACACCATAAAATAACTTACCATGACAATGCTAAACACCACAAAGCAACTTACCACTGACAATGCTAAACACCACAAATTAACTTACCACTGAGAATGCTAAACATCACAAAGCAACTTAGCACTGACAATGCTAGACACCACAAAGTAACTTAGCACTGACAATGCTAGACACCACAAAGTAACTTACCACTGACAATGCTAGACACCACAAAGTAACTTACCACTGACAATGCTAGACACCACAAAGTAACTTACCACTGACAATGCTAGACACCACTAAGTAACTTACCACTGACAATGCTAAACACCAAGCGAAAATCTTCTAAAAACAGTGGCACTGACATCAATAAATAAAGGATGAACTTCCTCCAGTTGTCCACCCACGTTATAGCTGACCACACACGGCAACAACATCCTTGGCGCCTGCAAGAATACAACTAGGAAATATCAGAGTTGCACATGCATAGGCAAGTGATTAGTCATCTTAAAACGATTATTTCCCTTTTTGTCTAAGCCTATATGAAACTGTAATTCAACAAAGTTTTCATTAAGTTAAATTATTCAATTTATTGAAATAGAAGTTATTTCAAGCTATTTCAAAACAATTAAATATGTTGAAATTTAAACAAAAATGTATAAAATAGTTGTAGGCTATTGTTATTGAGATTGCATTTAAAAAGATTTGCATGCATTTTGAACTTATTCAACTATTCATTGTTCAATTATTTAAATATGAGTGTCTTTTACACTTTGCATAGCTAAAGATTTGCTGATCCATAATGTATGTAATAAATTTATAATAATGCTAAATTTAGACATTTTAACTTTTATGACCATCACTTATCAAGCCTTCAGCGGGCCTCTTGCCAGGTTATTAAAGAGATCTATGCATAGACCTACTTTATATATATATATATATATATCATCATCATCATCATTGGCCTCCTTCAGTCGTAGGACGACTATGGTTCATCTCAGAGCACACTTCCTCATGTGGCTGTGGAGCCCTATTTTGGAGAGACACTCCCGTCCACAGATAGCGCAGGTTAGGGTCCCCTTGGCTTTTGCTTCGGTGGTAGAGGAGCTGGCCGTTTTTCGGATTGTGCGTTTTTCTGGCTGAGACCCATGTACTTTCACTCTCTATAGCTTTCTTGGTCACTGTCTCTGTCCACCTGTTGCGGTCTAGAGCTATGTCTTCCCAATTGTCAGTATTGATGTTCACTGATTTGAGGTAACGTTTTATTACATCTATGTAACGGAGGTGGGGGCGACCAGTTTTTCTTGTGCCAGTCGCGAGTTGACCATTGAGGATGACTTTCGGGATGCGCTTGTCCTCCATCTAGCGAACATGTCCAAGCCAGCTCAAACGGCGTTGTCTGAGGGCTGTAAAGATGCTGGGAATACCTGATCGCGCAAGGATCTCAGTATTGCACACTTTTTCTTTCCATGTGACATTCAAGATCCTACGGTGACATCTCAAATGGAATGAGTTTAGTTTTTTCTCTTGCTTTGCGTAGGTGGTCCATGATTCATTGCCATACAGCAGTGTACTCATAACGCATGCTTTGTAGACTTCCAAAACTCGCTGATTGGGTCTATCCAGAATCACAATGCGGCTTTCGCTCAGGGAGATCCACGATTGACATGATTTTCTCCATCCGCCAACTCCAGGAAAAGTGCAGAGAACAAAGGATGCTTTTGTACATTGCGTTTATTGACCTGACAAAGGCCTTCGATCTAGTTAGCAGAGATGGCCTCTTAAAAATGTTACAGTTAATAGGCTGTCCACCCAAGCTACTAAATGTAATCATATCTTTCCACCAAAATATGATGGGCACAGTGCAATTTAACGGTGCCAGCTCTGAAAGTTTCAGTATAAACAGCGGAGTTAAACAAGAATGTGTCCTGGCCCCAACCCTCTTTGGAATACTATTTTCACTGCTAATCCACAACGCGTTTGACAAATCCACCGAAGGCATCTTTCTCCATTCCAGATTTGATGGCAAACTGCTAAATATTGCCAGACTGAGGGCCAAAACTAAAATCAGAGCCACCCTCGTAAGAGATATGCTATTCGCGGATCACGCAGCGGTAGTGGCACACACACACAAGAGGAACTTCAGTCACAAATGTCCCGCTTCTCTCAGGCCTATAAGAATATGGCTTGACTATTAGCACGAAGAAAACAAATGTTATGGGACCACCTACTACAGCACCACCCTCCATCCTCATAGACGATAACAAGCTGGACGCCGTAAACGAATTCTGCTATCTGGGATCCACAATTACAGATGACCTGTCCCTAGAAGAGGAGATGAAAAAACGCATAGGGAAGGCTGCCTCGACATTCGCTAGACTCAGACCAAGAGTTTAGGAAAACCATAAGCTTTCTCTCTCTCTCTCTCTCTCTCTCTATATATATATATATATATATATATATATATATAGATAGATAGATAGATAGATAGATAGATAGATAGATATACATATATATATGTTTATAATGTTTATATACAGTGCTTTTTTTTGTGACGGTACGCACCAGTAGGCGTACCGGCACCTTTTTCAATGTGGGGAAAAATTATTACATTTCTTGCATTTGAACGTTTATTATTAATTTGTTAAAACGGTAGTTTAAAGTTAGGCAACCCATTACCGAGTACCGGCACCTTTTTTTTTTTTAACAAAAAACCACTGTTTATATATAGGCATATATATATATCGACTTACACACAGCACGCCGACTTATCCACTATCCAGGTTAACTCAAAGAACGTCACCAGTGTAGACACCCCACTGCAAAGTAGAAAAAAAAAGTGCGGTAAACTGGGTGCGTAATATCAACAAAGTTAGGACTATAATCAGTGGCGTAGCATCCATGGCGCGAATGGGGCTCAATGAACCCAGACTCACGACCATTAAATGCCCAAAGTCTGTGACTTACCAACCATGGCAAGTTTGGCTTTAATTGCGTTTGGGCGCATGGCTATTAACCGATTGGGGTCCACATGAACCGAATTAAAACTACTTGCATTTGAATGTCTTTTGGTAAATATTCAGACTACTGATTTTTTTTTTTGCCACACATTAAATTTGTCTTGGGGGGGGGGGGCGCCTCCAAAATTTACTTGAACCCAGGCCCTCGGGTACCTTGCTACGCTACTGACTATAATGTAGCTTCTTCGACCACAGGGTGAAAGACGCAAAGAAAAATAGAGCCAGTATGACATGTAGTCTGCTAATCTCTAGAAACTTGGCACAGTTGTTTTTTTTTCAATCCAATAACAATCCTC